GTTGGTCGATATTCCTAGTTAAAATTCTGTGCGTAAGTGAGGTTACGCGCTGAGTAACTAGTCTGTTTCGTTGATATGAAAAGTAGAAATAAACTTTTCACTCAATGTTCGTAGTTGCATTGGGTGCATATTGTTTGCAGCCCAGTCTCATTCGCCAGGGCAAGAAACAAAAACACCTTTTTCAGAAATATTTTGACAGTGTAGGATGACGAGGATTATAGTGAAGGGATATAGTTTCCAAAAAACAAAATCCACGCAGCTCGGCTTAGTCGTGATTTTAGCGGGCAACTGTGACAGATGTTCTGACAGATGGACCCGAAACAATAAAAAAAACAGGTGAAATTCCGTTTCTATCATTGGCGAGCTTGTTCGTTTATCCTTGAGCCGCTATAATAAATGAGTGAAAGAACACGCAAGACATGGTCGGATTCCACACAATGCCATTCGTCTTTATTAGGATTTATCAGATGAACGCACACAGAATCACCCATGCGACTCCATAGTTAACACGTGAGCACAAATCTATTAACCGATCTTGAACGGCTGTTTTATTCCACCCATTATGTTACACCAAAAGGCACGATCGTTTGTGCTAGCCTTTAACAAAAATCGAAGGGATGCTCGTTCATTTCGAGCGGCTTACATCCGAAACCTCTTACTGAGGATGCTGTTGTTCAGACCACATTTTGTGTTTGTTTGGCAATGGTTTAGGGGGCCTCTGTTGCTTGTCAGTGCGTCTTCGGGAAGCTGAAGATGTTAATCAGAGGTCTGTTCAAGATGGCCCTGTAAGCACCCTCAAGGTTGGGGCCGTGTTGAAGTTATCCGGTGTCGGTTGCGATGTGATTCCACCATAGGGCTGTAGTCTACTGCTTAAAGTTGAGTCGCTTGACACATTCACGCATGGATTCTGGTTTCAGTCACGTGCTTGACGTGTATTCGACCCGACATTCATCGTGGACAAACTTCAAGATATCCTTGATGCAGTATCTGACCCCCATGTGACCGCTATAGTATCCTCTCTGTCGGTCACTCTCTCGTGACTTTATGGATAGCAGAAGAACTCTCATGCTGACCATGGGACTGTGAATTAAAGGGTACAGACCACGGGTACAATGGTAGCGGCTGTTATCAAGGTCATCTGAAGTGAGAGGGTTACTGGTGTCTGACGTCACGGGAAAGAGAGCCGTTGTACCGACTGGTCTCCGGTTCGGTTGTAACTGTAATGACTACAGAATGGTAAGGGGGTAGAGCTTTCATTTAGTTGCAAATAGTAATAAGGGGTTGCTCGAGGAGTTGGAACTTCTGAATCCAGTCCAGGCCTAGGAACTCAAAGTTTGTGTGTGTTTGTGTGTCTGTGTGTGGGAACCGAATTGGATACCACGGAGTAGTTTATCTTGCCGATTAGATTCAGGTTTTCACCAGTTTACTTCGTGTGTTCAACTGATGATCTTCTAATGGGTTTGTTTTGAAACCATAGGTCGGAACCCGAATCACTGGTGCATGCTGTGACGATCATTCGTTGGCGGGATGACTCTGTCCTGAATGTAGTGTCCACGGTCCCTGATTGGCTTCTCTTCCCAGGCCAAAATTTGCACAAACTCCGCAAATTGTTCCACCAACATTATGCTCTTTCTGACTCTTCGATTGCATCTGCCGCAACTCTGATTGTGGTGGGGACAGTGACGTTGAAAGTGCCATTAGTCACAAGATTAACTCGGTCTAGTTAGCACTTAGTTGCCTTGTACAGTTTACTTGGACTTCATGCCAGACTTAAGTGGATGCGAATGTCGAATCATTGTGCCATCAGAAGCTGCCAGTCCATAATGAATTTCTGAGGCATCAACTCAGCATTCTGCTCAACTCAACTCGGTGGCCGTTCATTAATCGGTGGGGGGTGTCTACTTCCTGGGGGAAACAGCGACCAGCAACAAAAACGAGACGCTTGAATGGATCTTCTGCCATGGTGCTACTCTTGATGCGCTGACATTCATTGCTGACCACACCGGAATACGTGATTAAATCTTCATCAGTATTTCTTTTGGTCGTCTTGAGACAGTGATAGGGAATATAGGGACAGGTGGATAGTGATGAATTTTTCAAGGGACTCATTCAAACCATTTAAAGAATCAGCATGTATTTCCCAAACCGGAATAACAAATGTTGCCACCGTCGAGCAGTTTACTGACCAAGCGCTCCCCAGATGTTGTGACATGCAATTATAATTTGACTGCATAAGATGCTGTGTTTCGGACAAGCTATAGACTTGATCCTCAGTTCTATGCGCGAAATTGCTTGCGCATAGGTGCATCGTCCAAACCTAGTTTCCAATTGCTGTTTGTAATCGAATTTTGGTGTTTTCATCAGTTCTCTGTGACCATGAATTTCCTCTCGTAATGATTGTTAAAAAGGGGGCATGAAAATATCCGTTACCGAAGCGGACATTGTCGCCATAGGTAGCACACGCACTTACGTGAAGCATTCCCCAAATCCAATCTTGATACCTAAACTTTTACAAATAAGTTAGACTTCTCATACTAAATGGCACAACACACACACACCGTGAGACCAAATGAAAGACAGACAGAACTCATTCATACTTACCGAGAAGGATATCTGTTCCGCTTGTAACGTAGGTGGTTTATGGTTATGGAGGCTATCCGAATACAATCAATGTGGAGTGAGATACAGTAGTTATATCTGATCAGGCATCCACTTTTATCATGCTGATCGATATAAATGTTAATGAATATACAGTTATGATAGGTTCCGGATTCATGTACTTTCTTCGACGGTGTCAGGTCGCAACAGTAGCTTGACCTTATGTCCATTAACGCCACATTTGTATCATTTGCGAAGCGAAGCTTTGCCACTTTTCACACAAATCTTTGGACGAACACACTGCAGTATGGATGCAAGGTTGTTTGTGTGAATTATTAGTAGACACACGGTTGAGTTCAGCTGAAAATGGCTCGCAACTGTCTTTTCATCATTGTCATCTAAGCTATGACGGCAGTCTTCAAGAGATAAGAGTGATATTCCGAAAATTCCCATTTATAATAAGAACACAGATGGGTTGACAAACATGCACTTGGCAAGGTATTTTCAAGTCATACAATTGCAAAGGTTAAGAGAGCAGTATTTAAGATATTTGAATGAGTATGGTGTAAATGGACAGGAAATCGAGTGAGACGACATTGGTTACCTATCAAAGAACAATCAGTTCAGGTCACCAGTAGGATGATTTGAGCTAGCCAGCGCGGGGGTGCTGTAGTTGTGTGTTCAGCACAACGTGCATGTGTGAGGAGAGGTGAGTTGGATGATGGTAAGTATAACATAAGAGTGAATCGGTCGTAAATGAAAGTTTTCTTTGGAAGTAACCTAACTGGAGAATACCTTTAAAGTGTACGGCAACCAGCAATCAACATTCCCTACGTGCGGTTAATCATGGAAACCTTTTACAGATTCTTTATCATGTTTCTTTACTCAAAAGTATTTGTACCCCGTGTCAAGCAATGCAGGAAACGGCCAAAAAGATTTGAAACGGTTTTTTCCTCTGGGATTACACAAATGGGTGTAGTTTTAATATTTCTCACTGTCACTGGTATCAAGATTCCACAAAGGAAGACGAAGACGAGCAGAACGGTCAGTGTTGACTCGTGAAGGTCATATGGGTGGTTGTAGATCTTCAATGTAGTTATCGGTGGGAACCATGTTATGAAACCCCCAAAGCTTTACACCTCAACTGATGAAACGTTAACAGAAGCGGACTGGAGAGTTGTACTTTAATCAGCCAATAATTATTCAACTATATCGTTTTTCATTCTAAGAAGTCACCAGAGAAAATCCGCCACCACTGAAGATGCGTGATCAGGTCATAAATTTTCCGGATTCCTGATGGAGATACCATGACCCATGTCGTAATACTTATTGCTCGAATATGCGGTGGAAGTGATTGCAGGAAATTCGGAAGAATTGTTGTCGCAGTTCTCTTATGAGTGTTTTAGGATTTTATACGGAGCATGTGAAGACCGCAGTTTCAACCTTAGTGTGACTGACTGATTAGCTGAGAAACGAATGTCGGAAGGTGAATGAAAAACGAATGCATTAGATGCATATGGGCAGAATAATTCTGGTTTAAGCCAAGACAAGTTCTACTCTGGTACTGCTTTTGCTCCATACGAAACGTTCTGAAAGAGAAACGTTCTGATAGCTAATTCAACGAAATCGCCTCACACTGTCATGAAGCCGCTTCAAAAATCTTTGCGTGCTCATTTGCTGACTGTGTCGCTTCGTGCGTGCGTACCGACACCCACCAGTGCGAGGTGAGGCAGTTGAAGTTGCTTGGTCTAATTCAACCAATCGAATGGGTAGGAATTACTGATTTCCTCACCCTCAGCGCCGATAGTCACTCGCATGTCCGATGGGTCTATCGGAAGAGACTGCGAGAAGCAGTATCGATCTGTTTCAGCCGATTACAGAGCTGTCCCTGCATTTACCCCATACATATGCAAACCAGAAGAAATTAGTCTACACCAAGAACATATATCCAATTAAATTAAAGCAGGTCGTTAGCAGAGAGATTTTTTTCTTCCCCAACCGGGGTGGGTACACATGGACACCTGGTGTGTTTGTTTTGGTATGTGCGTGTATGCAGGTTTGCGTTTCCGTACAAATCGACTCTAATTTGATGCGACCACGGCTTCCTGTCAAATTCGATTAGGAGCTCATTGCTCCCGATCGTTGTGGACAGCAACGCTTCCCAAATTTGATTTTATTAGTATTGTCACTATGGAACCTATCATCACCCTCTGTGGCGTAACTCGATTTAGTGTTGATTCAATTTGATCAACCACCCTCTCATTCTTTCTACATTTCCTCTTGTTATCCTTCTAATGAGCCCAGCCCGCCCAACTGTGGTTATGCATTCAGCACCAATACACCTGCATCCTTCAAAATCAATTATTTTCATTGACACTGAGTAAATTTGCTTGCAGCCCAGAATGCTCTCATACTCTTGCCTACTAACAAGTGGAGAACTAACCAATCACAACTCAGCATCCAGTCATCCATACTCAACCGAGTCGTTGAACTCTCAGTTGCCGCATCACATTGTAAGACATGATCAAAATGGTGTGCAACATACCACAGTTGACTCCAGTCTTTACTTGAGGCAATCTACCGCTGAGGATATACAAGATTTAGGCAGATATAACACAGTCGATTCGGGCGCATTCCAGCGTAAACCCACGGATGGCCTCATATCAGATTCACCGAAGCATCTGTCTACAAGTCTTGAGGTCACTTTGGAGGCTGATGTCGCATATAAGGTCTGCAACTCAGCCTTACATGGGTTAAAAGCACACCTGCCACAAAATGAGAGCTCAGAATGGGCTGGTAGATACCTACCTACTTCTGAATTACTTGCGTCAGCCACATATCGTGCCTTTGATTGCTCAAGTTTGGATGTCGAGAAGAAACGTGACGTCTTCGTGGACCCCATTGCTAAACATCGGCAAGTCCGTGCGACATGTCACTCACCAAAAATCCCATCCATCAGAAGCACGTCAGCCAGCGGTCAAGATGAAGGGGGTGAGTTCGTTTTAGAGAGAGAGTACGAAACTTCCATATGGGAATTCACTATTCACAGTGCCCTAAAAACAATGTGTGCCAACGTTTTAGCGCAATGTAAGTGTCCTAATGTCAGATTCTCCATAGGTACTAGGGATCACAGAAAATTTTAGTTTAGACTCTACAGCAGTTGCCTCCTTCCAATGCAGTCGACCGATCTCAGTACTCTGATTTAATATGGTTTGTAAAGTATACAGTATCCCTTTACTTACTCCTACTAATTTACTAGCAAATGTCTTAGGCTTACTAAACGTTTTAGCGCAATGTAAGTGTCCTAATATCAGCTTCTTCATGGGTACTAGGGATTACAGAAAATTTTAGTTTAGACTCTACAGGAGTTGCCTCTTTCCAGTGCGGTCCAGTGCAGTTAGTAAAGAATACAATAGCCCCCTACTCACTCCTACTAATTTGCTAGCAAATTTCTTAGGCTTACTTTTCATTTCTCTGGGGACTGGCTACAAGCCCTTCACTTCTTCCTTTCTAGCCAAGCACTCCTTCGGCTGACCGACAAAAAAAACGCAGTCTTGTAAGCAGAGAATCTGAACAACGAGAAATGACGACAGACGCAATCGTCATGGTGTGTGTTTGTGTGACGATTCAGTGTGTTGGTCAGATTTCTAGCAGAGTACTGTTTTGGGCTATTTGTTTTTGTTTGTCTCCTTCTTAGTTGACCGACAAGCACCAATGATTCGGGACAGAATCCCTGATTTGCCGGCGCCTTTGACATAGGAATGCGATGAAGCATGAACACTTGAAAGCGGACCTAATACACATTAAAGCAATATAGTTGGTCACGTTGGAATTAATGACGCAGCCATCTTTATAGACTTGTCACGAGCCATGGTGGGTGTGCAGATATTTAAATTAGAAAGGAGCTCAATTAGCAAACACTGAGGCATATCCTTCAGTTTCTGACGCTTACAAAAGTTGTTACTTTGCCATCATAATGGAGTTCCCGGACGTTTTGTTGCCTTGAAAATTGTTTGTCTGAAAGATGGTGCTGAGAGCTCCATTGGATAAAAATTTAAAAAAGAGCTGAAAATCTTTCGTTATGGTCGTTTTGCTCGTTGTTGAGAGGCATTCTTGCATCACCAGTTTAGTTATTCATGCATTTTATAAACGTTCAGCTTTAAAAATCTTATTCCGGAAATAAATTTCCACTTTTACATCGATGGCCTAGTTGTACGATGTTCAGACATCTCCAAAATTAGAGTTTACCAATTCAAAAAACCCCAACATTGGGAATGCTTTTGAGATGAATGTGTAGCTTTGCCAATCTGTCCACTTTCGCTTTACTATCCTCCATCGAAGAACCAGTGTCCCCGATGGCTTTTGCACGGATCATCACAGTTTACAGGCGTAAATGTCTTCCATATCACCACGCATTTTTTGGGTGTAGATGCTCGCGCTTCCTCATTCAAGTGCAAACTACTGTCCTAACCATCCAGTAGGGATTCTCCCGCGAGAGAGTTCTATTTTGTCCCCAAATCAGTTCAGAGTTGCCTTGGCTGCCAAATACTTGATGTCTGTAGTTCTCTCATCCTAATCCTGCCTTAAAAAATCACCAGATTTTTTGGCCACTGCGGGTGAGTCACAGCTGGATGTAAGCTTTTTAGGAGGAGCCAGACACCAACTCTGGAAAAGATAACCACAGAACAAATTTACCAAGCACAGACACTCTCCCACTCGGGAAACCTTGTATTTATTATTACGTATTCTGACTCCACAAACATGAAGTTCCTGTGGCGAAGGATTACTCAGAATAACGGTTAGACGGAACCGTGTAAACGGCTTTTTTGAGCCCAAGTAATATTCTATTTGTAATGCACTACTCCTAAGTTTGCTGAAAATACGTCGACAGCCCACAACCGGTTTCGCCATTCTTGGGGCTCATCAGGTAGGCGCAGTCCCCGAGTTTCCGCCAAACTTATGTTCTACTTGAAAACCAATTGCACGAAATTAGCGAATATACACTTATTTGCAAACTAATTTGCTTTTTTGAGGGACTCACCTGGAATCAGGGTGAATCTCTCGAAAAACCGAATTTGTTTGCAAATGAGTGTATTTCGCCAATATTCTAGTTTCGAGTTAGCTGAATACGATAGCCATAGCTTTCAGTATGTGCTAAAATCACGTTAACATTTACGTGCTAAGTCGGGTACCAACACACGGAATCGGTGGATCTGTCCACATTCGGCTCACTACTTGAGGAAAAATTCAAGAGTAATCTGTCTGGTGACCTGCGGAATAAACTGGCTGCCATTATATAATGCCGCTATATTAATTGTATTCATATTTGTTCGTGCAGTTGGTCGACCTGACTTTGAACAAAAAGAACTACATCCAGCTGTAAGATTGACTAGCATTTTCGCGCGATGTCTCAACAGAAGTCTTGAGATGACGTTTAAGTCGCAACCATAAACCCGAAAAATTGCGTGTCTTTCACGGTCGCATACATTCATTGTAAGAATATCGCCGAAAACTTTGAACTTCCTGTTAGACCATCCCAGATATTGCAGCGAGCATTGCTTGAAAATACTGTAATAGGTAGTATACCTTTAGGGCGACTGTTTACGAGTGAACTTTACTTTGAGGAATCACAGTATGCTAAAACATACTTTTGAATCACCCAGTTTCCATAAATCCTGTGACCGTAAACTTCGAAGGAGCGGAATTACTTCCCTGAACACACTCGAAAAAAATCGCCGTTGAAACAAACCTTTGTTTTGATTTCTGAAAGCCTGAAAGCTCCTTTTTTCAGCAGTTATTTGGTGACACATCTATGGGACTTTATTCGCATTCAATAACCAAAGGTGTCAAATTTCTTTCAGACCAATCGCTTCAGGCACTAGCTCACAGCTTCAGTGTGCCCTGTTTTGTCCACAGCCCGTTCCGTGGGCCCAGCAGACGTGTGGTGAGCATCACATCTTCACCGTCTTTGACTAGACCATTATGGCATCTGTTGGGAACGTGATCCCAGGGGACAAGTCTTCATGCTGAGTCCCGTAAAATAATACTAGGATGGTCTGAGTGAGTCACACAGTAAAATCCCATGCCACGTTAGGGTGACAAAAAGAGGGGTGCGTGCTGGACAAAAGGAATACGGCCATTCAACTTTAACTCGCTCAGATAGCTAGCTACTATCATGAGTGGACACAATGCAAAAAACACCATACAGCATGATATTGTTCATTTAACCTGACGTATATATGGTAATAAGTTTGACGAAAATGTTATGGAAACCCTACACATATTTTACGAACCTTACACGCTCAGATCTATTGCGCAGCCTGGCCATCAAGCATTGCCGGGTCCCTAAATTCAAAGCTCTTCTTTTTCTTAGAGCTCTTATTTTGATGAGTTTGGTGTCTGTTTGTAAAAGCGCACACTTTTTTCAGGTCAACCTGACCGTTACACGGAGGGTTTAAAATAGATTAACAGGAATCGCATGAGACCTGTCTTCGCATTTGATGCGTCAGTAAGTCTACTGGAAGCCCCAATATACTGCTAATCTTGTTTTACTCCTTTTGCTGAAACTTCAACTTGACTAATATTATCCCTTTCTACTAACCTGCTCAAACCTAAGTTCTTCTGTTCAGGGTCTATCTAAGAATGCACATCATAGGAGGACCACGGGAACATCGTCCAATTGTCTAGCAGAGCTCATCTTTGACCCGATCAGTTCCTTCGCAAGGCAATTCCGACCTCAATGAGCGATGTGATAAAATGCCATCAATCCGTCACAAACGATTCACGTAGCAGAGCTCATTCCTCCAGGTCGAAATGATTAATATAAAGAAACTGTTGTGCGTATACACCCAGGTAAAACAATGGAAGCTATGGTATTCGCATCAAGTAATTCGTAGTGCTTGTTCGCGTCATGCCAGTCGAAAACAAGCCCCTGTTTAACTGGGTCTTAGGGGGAAAAGCTTTCGATTCTCAGGTTGAACAGACCAGTCTGTGATGAAAAGCTGGTAGCAAAACAGAGACCTTCACATACTCACAACGGTAGTCTAAAGAAAAGAGCATAGGCCACTCAATCACTGGTCCTCTGAGGTGAGTTGCATTTGCGAGCAAGAGGAAGACCATTTTTGGCACGTGTATCATACTTGGCCCCTTGACTAAAGGTCTACTTTGACCCTGGAACGCCAGTTCACTTCCTTCTAAATTAGGATCTCTAGCTTAAACCCACGACCCAGCTAAATGTCCCCTTGAAGCATCTCCTAACACTTGCACGTTCAACTTCTAAATTCTGTGGCCTCAAAAAAGTGGCATGATTATTTATTTCAGCAAGTTTCACAGAAGAATCATCCACCCATTTAGGTTTAACTGAATCTTCACTTTGACAGTACTTGCTCTGCTTTAGCCCATGGCCACTGATTACTGTGACAGCGCAAGTCAGCTTGGTGATATCATTCAGCGTGAACTACTCCATACAAAAACCGATTCACCCAGTAATGTTAAGTTGTTATGTATGTGCACTAAATCGAATTTTCCCTCACGACTATCCTGCATGACCAACTTTTCAGGGTTTTCATATGGTTTTACCAGTCCATATTCATTGGGAAAGTGGGTAGTTGTCAGATGAACTTTGAGCAACAGGGCTCCATACTGCTTACAATCCTGGAGGCCCGGGCCATTTCACTACTGTCGTTGCAGCTAGATGAAACATATGCGATCTACTTTCGTCTTCACCCCTCTCGCTTGAACATTTCTTCTACCCGGTTCAACTTGGGGTCGAGTTTCTTTCTTAATAAGACTCGGTCTCAAAGCATACTGTCAGCCGTGTCGGGATTTGTATGTCGCTCGCTTGGAATAAAAAACGAGCTTGTTAGTTCAACTTCAATAGCTCAATTCCGGACAAACAAGCAGGTTCACACCTGACCGATTTTCAAGGTTGTCTCGATTGTCGAAAACACAACCCGGCAACTGGTCGGGTTGCATTAACTCTTTGGACTCTT